TTTCAGTCAATCTAAATGTGTATTTAAAAGCTGTAGGGAGCCGGGCGGCAGTGGTGGGGCACACCTTTAATCCCAGCGCTCAGGAGGCAGAGGCAGGGGGATATTTGTGAGTTTGAGGACAGCCTGGTCTGCAGAATGAGTTCCAGGACAGCCAGAGCTGTTACACAGAGAAACTCTGTCAAAAAAGGAAGGAAGGAAGGAAGGAAGGAAGGAAGGAAGGAAGGAAGGAAGGAAGGAAGGAAGGAGAGAAAGAAAGAAAGAAAGAAAGAAAGAAAGAAAGAAAGAAAGAAAGAAAGAAAGAAAGAAAGAAAGAAAGAAAGAAGGAAAGAAAGAAGGAAAGAAAGAAGGAAAGAAAGAAAAAGAAAACGCTGTAGGGAAGTTTTTGCCATCTGAGCCCTTGGAAGCACAGCATCAGCCTGAGCTTCATAGTGAGACCCCATCACTGTAAGTAATGTGTGCACAGTAAAATGAAGCTTTGGATGGCCAGTTGTGGGCAGCCCAGCTCCTGGAAGCCAAGGGGCCTGCCGTTGGTGTCCTGCCAGGATGTGTAACTGCATGTACCCGGGACTGAAGAGGTATCTCAGCAATCAAGAACACTGGCTGCTCTTGCGGAGGACTCACAGTTGATCCCTAGCACCCACACTGGACAGCTCACAGCCTCTTGTAACTCCAGCTCCCTGGAGATCCAGTGCCTCCTTCTGGCCCCCACAGGCAAGTACACTCACATGCACATACAATCAAAGGTGCACATCCACAGGATGACTGCCTTCTGTGTCCTGTTGGGGCTGCTCTGCGTGCCAGAGACCCCTCCTCAGAACCCCTTGCCCTTGGCCATCAGAGGTGCCACTATCTTCCACATGGACTCCTATTTCTATATCCTCACCCTCTCTGTGTCTTCCTGGCCAGCCTCTGCCTCCACACCTGCTTTCCACTGAGTGTTTCTCCTCCAGGTGTCCCTTTTCCACTGCACCCATCTGCTCAGGGACTCAGCAGCCATCCCCCTGTCCCTTGTCATGCCGTACCATTCACCCACCAAATATTTAGGAAGCATAAGGTGCTGAGGGACACTGCCAGGAAAAGGTGTCTATCCTCTTAGAGCTGACATTCTAGAGGAAGTGACAAACAGAGACAATGCATGGCAAGGTGGGGGGTGGTTCTGCTCTGGGCATAGAAGACTGAGTTTGGACCAGAAGGATCTGAAATGCAGCTAGGTGAAGGAGAAGAGAGGGAGCCACAGTGTTCCTGATATCTGAAAGAAGAAAGTCAGCTTTGGGGGCAGAGCAGAGCAAATTCTCATGGATGTGGTATCATTTGGATTTTCTTGCAAGCCTCACAGAAGCTACGGGAAGTGTGTGTGTGTGTGTGTGTGTGTGTGTGTGTGTGTGTGTGTGTGTG